ATCACATGATTCGAGGATAAGATGTGCAGCGGTGGATTTGTATTATATTTTATACGGTCGTAATAGGCCTTCTTGGGTGGGGATGTTGCATGCATCTATGGTCATTGTGAGGAGCGCTTCCCAAATAAATGTAATCCTTCTGTTATTACAGCGCTTGAGCAATGCTGTTTTTGACCATAGTGGGTTATAGCCCTGCTGTAGAACTTTTCTGGCGAGCTCTGTGGTCTGTCTTTCTTTGTTTATATCCTCCTGATGTTCTGTGATACAGCAAGCAAGCATTCTTGTCGCTGCCCCTATATACCTGTCAGTTATCCGGTTATTGGATTTTCTAGTTGTACTGCATATACTCCTGATTTTTCTAAAACATCAACTTTATCTTGATCAACACCTCTTATTTTAAAATTCAGAATACAGTAGTTTTCTGAGAGCATAAAAAGACAGTAATACAGTCAACGTGCATTAATACTGTATTTTTGCAGATAGACTGACATGCTGGTCTATCCGGGGAGACCATGAAATTAGATATTACAATATGGTAAAAACTTAGTATGCCAGTGCATGCCACTTTAAGTGAGGTTATGAATCCCTTTCTAGAGGGTGCATAAAAGAAACAAATGAGCTTTATTCTAAAACTGTGAAACTGTCAGCACTACATTAAAAACTATGATTATACGTTTAATTTCTGCATTTTGTTGTCTTTCTAACGATGTAAAATACTTGTGGAATGCTAAAAGTGCTTTTTTTAATGTTCATTTTATTGTAATTCAATCCAAGAATGCAAAAATAAGCATATCAAATTTCAGAAATTTGCTGTAAATTAGCTCAACTTGCACACAAAGCAGATGTTAATCAGTGTAATTTGAGAGGTAGGTGTTATTTTTAAGATTAGGCAAGGTAGACTGTCAGTGTAGCCCACACTAACAACTACTACTACTACAACTAATGTTAATTAATAAGCTGCTAATTGTTTTAATGCACTGTAAATGAAAACTTTAGTCCTGATTTTAAGTCAATCAAATAACAATGTTATTATTTTATTGTACTCGGAAGAATGTTTCCTTTTTTATTTGATTTTCTTCGGGTACACTGTCAGACAGTGTACCTGAAGAAGGCTGAAAACATTCGTACTCATGTATAAACGGCTAGAAACAAGTGATAAAGGTTTTGTCTTGGTCATCTTCAAATCAAACAAAATGAGGAGACAGTACTTGTTTAAGTATGGAGCAGTAAATCAAAGTGTCAATATAGCAAAGCTAAAAGAAATCAGTAATAATTTTTTTGTTGAAGATTGTTTGAAAAAGTAAAAAATATTTGTTTTTTCATTTGCAAATGTCATCTTTATATATTTCAAACTGCAGATAGTGGCATATGGAGTCTATTGTGGCCATTGAATTCTTGAAAGAATGCTTAGATGGTTGAACATCACTGCCAATTTTGCTTTTGTTTATGGAATCACTACTTTCACCAAGCACTATTCTGACTGGTCCTGAAACTATTGTGCAGACTATAATGCGAGTTTGAGTTAAAAAACTGTACACATGTAGCCAAGGCACCAACTCCTTTTTTTAAATCAAAAGATTAAAAAAAGGAACCAAACCTGGCATCATTGTATGCACTCCCCAATATACAAACTAGCAGGTATTTACATGGGACTGCATCCATTTAAAGGGGTGGGTGTCCTTAAACTTTAACCCCTATATTCTGAGTACAATAGAACAATCTACTAAAACCAGATGTTTGAATTGATCTACAATCAAAGGTTGAACCCATCTTTGAGTAGAATAGATTTTCTTCTAGTAAGCAAAGTGAAACATTTATTACAGTATCACTTTTTATTGTTCCTTTCGAAAAATGTAAAAAGCAACCATTATTGGAAATAATGTTATTTCTTTGGGTGGGAAGGTAATTTAGAGTTCCATAATCCATTAAAACATGATTTTATTGTATATTATTAGAAATTAATATTTAAATTTACACTGTTTCATTTTTCATTTATTGATAATAATTTTCTTAGCTTGAATTAAAATAATAATTTGTATAATATATAAAAGTTTTCTAAAAAGAATTGATTGTATTTCTAAATAACTGCATTTAAATTTATAATTTTAGATATCATACACTTAGGATGCTGACTGAAAATCCGCCATTCACAAAGAAAGATCATAGTCACTTAAATACAGAAGAATTAGTAGAAAGATTATGGAAATTGATGAAGTATAGTTAATATTTCTTGCATGTTACAATAAACCTTTTAAATTAAATTTTTAAATAATTTTTATTCAAAAATAGTAGTGGTTCATCACATGATTCGAGGATAAGATGTGCAGCGGTGGATTTGTATTATATTTTATACGGTCGTAATAGGCCTTCTTGGGTGGGGATGTTGCATGCATCTATGGTCATTGTGAGGAGCGCTTCCCAAATAAATGTAATCCTTCTGTTATTACAGCGCTTGAGCAATGCTGTTTTTGACCATAGTGGGTTATAGCCCTGCTGTAGAACTTTTCTGGCGAGCTCTGTGGTCTGTCTTTCTTTGTTTATATCCTCCTGATGTTCTGTGATACAGCAAGCAAGCATTCTTGTCGCTGCCCCTATATACCTGTCAGTTATCCGGTTATTGGATTTTCTAGTTGTACTGCATATACTCCTGATTTTTCTAAAACATCAACTTTATCTTGATCAACACCTCTTATTTTAAAATTCAGAATACAGTAGTTTTCTGAGAGCATAAAAAGACAGTAATACAGTCAACGTGCATTAATACTGTATTTTTGCAGATAGACTGACATGCTGGTCTATCCGGGGAGACCATGAAATTAGATATTACAATATGGTAAAAACTTAGTATGCCAGTGCATGCCACTTTAAGTGAGGTTATGAATCCCTTTCTAGAGGGTGCATAAAAGAAACAAATGAGCTTTATTCTAAAACTGTGAAACTGTCAGCACTACATTAAAAACTATGATTATACGTTTAATTTCTGCATTTTGTTGTCTTTCTAACGATGTAAAATACTTGTGGAATGCTAAAAGTGCTTTTTTTAATGTTCATTTTATTGTAATTCAATCCAAGAATGCAAAAATAAGCATATCAAATTTCAGAAATTTGCTGTAAATTAGCTCAACTTGCACACAAAGCAGATGTTAATCAGTGTAATTTGAGAGGTAGGTGTTATTTTTAAGATTAGGCAAGGTAGACTGTCAGTGTAGCCCACACTAACAACTACTACTACTACAACTAATGTTAATTAATAAGCTGCTAATTGTTTTAATGCACTGTAAATGAAAACTTTAGTCCTGATTTTAAGTCAATCAAATAACAATGTTATTATTTTATTGTACTCGGAAGAATGTTTCCTTTTTTATTTGATTTTCTTCGGGTACACTGTCAGACAGTGTACCTGAAGAAGGCTGAAAACATTCGTACTCATGTATAAACGGCTAGAAACAAGTGATAAAGGTTTTGTCTTGGTCATCTTCAAATCAAACAAAATGAGGAGACAGTACTTGTTTAAGTATGGAGCAGTAAATCAAAGTGTCAATATAGCAAAGCTAAAAGAAATCAGTAATAATTTTTTTGTTGAAGATTGTTTGAAAAAGTAAAAAATATTTGTTTTTTCATTTGCAAATGTCATCTTTATATATTTCAAACTGCAGATAGTGGCATATGGAGTCTATTGTGGCCATTGAATTCTTGAAAGAATGCTTAGATGGTTGAACATCACTGCCAATTTTGCTTTTGTTTATGGAATCACTACTTTCACCAAGCACTATTCTGACTGGTCCTGAAACTATTGTGCAGACTATAATGCGAGTTTGAGTTAAAAAACTGTACACATGTAGCCAAGGCACCAACTCCTTTTTTTAAATCAAAAGATTAAAAAAAGGAACCAAACCTGGCATCATTGTATGCACTCCCCAATATACAAACTAGCAGGTATTTACATGGGACTGCATCCATTTAAAGGGGTGGGTGTCCTTAAACTTTAACCCCTATATTCTGAGTACAATAGAACAATCTACTAAAACCAGATGTTTGAATTGATCTACAATCAAAGGTTGAACCCATCTTTGAGTAGAATAGATTTTCTTCTAGTAAGCAAAGTGAAACATTTATTACAGTATCACTTTTTATTGTTCCTTTCGAAAAATGTAAAAAGCAACCATTATTGGAAATAATGTTATTTCTTTGGGTGGGAAGGTAATTTAGAGTTCCATAATCCATTAAAACATGATTTTATTGTATATTATTAGAAATTAATATTTAAATTTACACTGTTTCATTTTTCATTTATTGATAATAATTTTCTTAGCTTGAATTAAAATAATAATTTGTATAATATATAAAAGTTTTCTAAAAAGAATTGATTGTATTTCTAAATAACTGCATTTAAATTTATAATTTTAGATATCATACACTTAGGATGCTGACTGAAAATCCGCCATTCACAAAGAAAGATCATAGTCACTTAAATACAGAAGAATTAGTAGAAAGATTATGGAAATTGATGAAGTATAGTTAATATTTCTTGCATGTTACAATAAACCTTTTAAATTAAATTTTTAAATAATTTTTATTCAAAAATAGTAGTGGTTCATCACATGATTCGAGGATAAGATGTGCAGCGGTGGATTTGTATTATATTTTATACGGTCGTAATAGGCCTTCTTGTCTTCCTATTCCAGAAGTATGTAATTCAAAGAAAACATTTTCAAATTGATTTTTCATAATTATGTGTTGATTATGGTTTTAATTATTTACAGCTTGCAATGGTATTAAATTTGAAAGAAAAGAAAGCTAGAGTAAATCCTGCTATAGCATCAGAAGAAATTGACATGCCTGTATGTATATTTTATTAATGTCGTGTCAAGCATAGTCTCAAATTTTGAATAAACAAATAAAATTTGATTTTTCAAATACAGTGGAACTTCGCTTAATGAGCATAATTTGTTCCAGAATCTTACTCGTAATGCAAAATACCTGTTAAACGAAAGAATTTTTCCCATATAAATTTGATAAACTTTTGTGAGTATTTTATTCTCAACGATCTCTATTTCTAGGTCTGGATAGTGCACTTTTGTTTTTTCCGTTTGGTCTAGTACTAGTTTCAAATCATAGAAGATTTTTTGCAAACTATTAATAACAATAACTATGTGGTTTTTGATTTCTAAATTATTAAAATATCATTGATATATCTTGCATGTAAACAGATGTTGCAAAGGAATTTTTTGTGTGCTGTTCCAGTAACGTAACTACTATTTTGCATAAATCCCTGAAAAGGGGCTTCCTTTCAAACCCCCATTTTTGTATGAATGTTCAATTGTTAAATGTGAAAATGGGGTGTAATATAGCATATGCATTAATTCTAGTATTTGTTGGTGATAATTTGACATATTTAGTATATTTCATAACAAAACATCTCTTAAAGTGCAAAAATATGGCTCATGTTTGATGGATGGATAAATCGATATGTGGGAGCGTATGGAACATTTTTATAAAACACAATTTTTTTTCCATTTCAATGAGTATAGTGACAAATTAATATGAAAATTATTTTCATGCCTTATAAGTTTAAGTCACAGTGATATTTATTAACCCTAACAATCATTTGAAATGTGAGCTTTGCTGATAGGGAGAAGGGGGAGGTTAATCCTTCTTATCAAGATGAACAAGGGGTGCAAACATAATGTGAGTATTGTTGTTGACACTGAGACAGTTGCCTTACATAAACCATTTATTTGGAAGGCAATGCTTACATGTTTCTGGTCAAGCACTTCTCTCGGATGAAAATAAATGTAAAATGTTCAAAGTGGAAAGTTCACTGTCATCATTAATCCAACAGTGATTAGTCAGAGATAAAGTTTTGTAGCAAACAGTGGCTCTGGACAAATTGGCAGGACGTTGCATAGTGTGGCAGAACCTATGTGAAGCAACAAAGAATCCTGAATGAGGAAGAAGCAACCACCTTGTTCTTGAATCTCGGGGTTTTTAAAGGATTCTTCCCAAAATTCTGAATTTGATTGGTCCCAAATTTCTCATTCTACCTTCCATTTGAGCCATTTCTGTTTCCAGGTGAAATTAGACAACCAGATCAGGTGTGGGAAAAGTCCACTCTGCATTAATCAATTTGACACCTCCGTTTGACTTCGTCTGCAAATGTTGATTGACCTTTGAAACTTTTGCTCATATCTCACATAATGATATTTTCTTTTCTCACATTAATTATTTGTTTTTATAATTTACAACACAATAGTTTTTCTTTTAAAGGAATGCTACATTTTCTCATTTATTTCTAAATTTTGTCATGTCTACGAGCATTGGTGTCAAAGCTCGATCTTTCTGATCGACATTCTAAGCATTCCAACCTGTTAGTTCACAACAACTCATGACCTCTTGGGGTCAACCATATTGTTTATTTCATACCTTTGTGACAGATCTATTTTATGCATTTTTTTATAACAAAATATTTTCTTAAATGACTTGAATTTCTGTACACTTATTGAGAGATTAGGACTCTTTGTTAGATCCCAGACAGAGTCCCATGTTTTAGATTGATAGATAGAACTTAATTTCTCAATTAGAAATTTGTACAAGAAAATTAGAAAATAACTACTTCATGTTTAAAATATAAATTCTATGAAGCCACTTAAAATGATTATATATTTTTTTTATTCAAATGGTAGTGTTACTATGGAGCATATAAATTTTAAAAAAGCAATTATTTTTACTCAAGATAAGTAAAAAATTTTATATTTATAGCTTGAACCAATGGAAGTAGAAGAAATAGTAGAAACATCAGAAGTAGAATTACCAGTAATTGAAGAAGTTGTGGATGTTGTGGATACAAAAGCAGAAACTTACATTTATGTGGATGAAAAGAAAGATGGTAATATACCAGTAATAGAAGAAAGGATAATTGATCCATGTGATTTTAAAATTGAACCCATGGCAGATGAAGAAGAAGCTAAAAAAAATAAAGTTAAGGTAATTAATGTTCATTTCTTTATTCAAGTGATATTCATAGTTTAATTTATAGTAGTCTCATCTAAATATCTGTTTAATAAATTATATATACCTGTTATATCTTAAAAATGTAACATTCTATGTCAAACATCTGCTTTCATTTTATAATTAATTGATTAATTGATCTTAATGTGGTATAAGTAATTAAATTAGATTGTAAACATTATTATTATATAAACAATAAAAGAATTTACAATATTCAAAAAAATTACTCAATCATATTTTGAATCAAAGTAATTTAAAATGGATTGCAGAAACATTTTATCTTTAATTTCAATAAAAATATTTGAGAACAATATTGCGATTTTCATTTCATTTGGCATAATAATTTTAGAATTTTTATTGTAGACTTTTTGAAAATTGCTTTTTACTTTTATACTTTAATTTAGGCTAAATAATTCAAATATATTAATTAATTAAGAAAACTAATTTTTTTTTTATAAAATGGAGTGTAACTTTAGAATTCCATTATAAATCAATTCTGTTTTCTTGATAATGGTTTAGATGATTGATTATCAAACTTTTATCTCGTGGTACCCTCATTTAGAAAGTTATATTTTTATTGAATAGTAAGTGAAGACTGGATTGTGAACTCTGAAATGATGATTATAACTAGAAGATAATGAAACTGAAATGTTCATTTTCAAATGAATAATTATAAAATAGTTTAAAGATGGAAGAATTTCAAATAGGATTTTATATTTACCTTGGTGTTGAATTAGAACTTTTAGTGTAAGCTTTGTGGCTGATGAGAAGAAAGTCTTAATTTTAGTACATTTTTGACTGTAAATTTGTTAAGAGCTCCTGTTCTCAAAATCTAGTTCAATCTACTTCAAGTTTTGCTATCAGATCAGTGATTAATAAAACCCTATTAAACAAAATAGAAACTTGGAAAACCTATAAAAGAATTATTTACCTCATCCCAATTGTGTACACTATTTCAGAAATTTTCTCTTTTCCTAAATCTTGCTTGAAATGCAGACTCACTCTGCAGATCCACATTAGTCTCCAGTCTTTCACATTTTTTTGTGACCTCCCTGAAATGTTCAATCGCCCGAGGGACCATGTGATGCTAAAAAGAAAAATTATTTAATCGTATTTGCTTGGAAATATTTTTGCTTTTAGTCATTTGTATTGCTGACTTGTGTAATTTCCACATAAAAAAAAATTTGTCGTTTAAATATATTAATCTTAATTATTTTTCTGATTAAAATGTTTCTCAGAGAAAATGTCATTTTTTTTCTAAATTATATTTTCAAAATTTTTATAAACTAAATTAAAATGCTTTGATGTTGAGAATAGCTATCATTATAAAAATTGTTTCATACTGTTTATTTAGGATTCATCCTTACCACAAACATGTACTAGTACTTCAGCAGTTATGACAGTTTCTGGGGCAGAAAGAGTTAGTAGCAGTCCAGATTCTACATCAGCTGCTGCATCGTCATCAACACCTTATCGATCATTTGACGTATATTCAGATGATTCCCAATCTAAATCCTTACCTGGAATTCAAGGTGAAAAAAAAACAAGAAAATTATTATTTCATTTTAATATGGAAGAAAAATTAATACAGTAGCCCTATGTTATAGTGGACACATTAGGAGACAAACCAAATAAGCAATATATTAGGTGGCACAATATAAATTAATAACTAATGTATCTATCCACTTGATTTGTCTATTTTTAATCTCTATGCTGATTTGCTTTTTGTTGGTAGTTGCAAGATTAATGATAAAGTAATGGTACAACTATGCAGATGCGAGAGAGTGAGAATGTATGGCGAGAGGAGGTGATGACGTTTCTCACTCTCATTAAGTACAGTGCAACTACACCGATGTGAGCAAAATCAGAGAAAGTGGCATGGAGATAATGATATCCATGAACCATACTCATTGCCGAGAAGCATGAATTAATGCATTGTATGGAAGTAAAAATCAAAATGGTTCGACTATGAAACTTACTTCTAGCAGAGAATAACTTTTGTTATTAGGATTATTTCATATAAAATATAAAAAAGAAAATGAAAATGCAGTGTCTTCCTCTCTGGAAACAGCAAAAAGATAAAGAACTTTATTATAAAATGTTAATAAAACAAAATTTATATGACTTCATTATATCTATAGTTTAAAAAAAAAAAAAAAAAAGCAAAAATCTTTTTATATATATAGTTGAATGATATGAGAAACCATCTTCTACTTGTGCCAAGGCACATGCACAGTATTCAGCAAGAAGAGATAAGAGAGGATAAATATCAAATCCTGTCAGATGTTTGAGAGGCCCAGAAATTCACTTGCACCAGTGAGATTTCTTACTTCTCACTTGTGCATGGTTTTCCTTTGTGAGAAATATATCTTTCTCTACTAGATTCATGTCTGCATAGTCACATCCTAAGGTAATATCTTTGTCAAATTTCTATTGGCAATGGAAACAATTTTTTTTTTTTTTAAATTATTGGCTAAAGCACTTTTATAGTTAGAAGAGAAAAAAAAAAGTGCAATATATCAAGGGGCTACTGTATTTATTTAAATTGTTTGTTGTAATTTATATTTTAATAGCTAATAGAAATATCCATAAAAAATTTCAAGTTTTTTAAAAATTATTTTTCAACTTTTTAAAAAGTATGGTGTGATTTTCCATTTTGATTTTGCAACCTCCTTTAAAAGAATAATGTTAAAGATAGGAATTTAAAATTAAATTGATATATTTCCAAGAAATAAAAATTAATATTTTTCACTTTATTGAAGTTTTAAAATATCATATTGATTAATATAAATGATTTTCTTATATTAGGGTCTACTGCTCATCAGCCTACTGGTTTTGATGCAAGCATGTTTAAAAAACCTCCAGATACACCTGAAACTCAAGGTAATCCTTCTGGAGATGATGATGGAAGTACAGATCAAAATCCAGAATTAGCACAATTATTGAAACCTCACAGAGATAAAAAGAAGAAGAAGAAAACTAAGAAACATAAGCACAAGCATAAACATAAACATGAGAAATTTGACAAACTGGACAGAGATAAAATTTATAGTAGTGGCAACAGTAGTAATCAGTCCCCTGCAACTTTTAGTGGAGGAAGTCCTCAACAAGAAATATTATAAGCAAATTTGAAATTAAGTTTTGTTAACAAATGACCTCTTTAAATTCTTTATTTATTTTAATTGTACAGTACATGTCATTATTAAAATCTCTTTTTGTAATTCATAATAAATTTTTTAATATAGTTTTTCAATTAACAGTCATTCTACGATTCATTATACATAAAACAAAAACAGTTTTTTATCATTGTAATTAAGAATTTTTATATAAGTAAGTTGATTGCTAGTCATTTCTACATGCTCAATTGTATTAAGAGAATGGCATACCATTTGACTGTTGATTTCTTTAAGATTATGCTTTTGCTAAAACTTAATTCAATTTTTTCCTGTTTAAATAAGAAATTTTTCCAGTGTAAACTGATGCTTTTACCATATCAATCACCAGCCAATCTGCTGCTCCAGAGATTGATCTGGAAGTGAATTTCAGACTTTATTCAGATATGTTGGCCCTCATTCCTCGCCTCCCAGCTTTTCCTGTTGTGGGCCTGGCCTACTCATAATGGATGTGGAAGAAATAAATAAGTGCTACCCTGAAAGAAAAGGCTATGGATGCTGTAATGATAATGGATATTTTGCTGTAAAGCCAAAATATATAAAGGTATCCAGTTCGGGAAAATATAGTTATTAAAAAAGATACGTCATGGAACTATTTTTAAAATTACTTATAATGGTATAAGCTAGTTAAAGTAATAGATTCCTTATTTTACATAATAATTGGTTTATATAAAATTCTGTTTTGTTACTGGACCAAAAAATGTTTTCCAATATTATACAGACATGAGGTGCCAGCTCTACTGAATTGAATTGAATGAAACATAATACACATGCAATGCAGATCACGAGAAAGAGATTTAGGGGAAAAATTAGATGAAATTTTCACCACCAAGGGGAAAGTTTAGTTCTGCAAGGATGACAATTATAAGACAGGTAGACAGGAGGTTACATCTTTACAAATCCTTTTGTGTTGACCACATATTGCAAGTGTCAAATCACATTATCAACTACTGAATGTAACATTTCAGGAGGAATCTGGGAGATATAATGCACTATGCTGATCTTCACTCTGACAGAGTGCACAGGCTCCAACTAAACACAATCTTTCAAATAACCCCACAACCAGAAATCAATGGTTGAGGTCTGGTGTCTGGGCTGGCCATGCACTTGGGAAATCCCACGAGATGACATGTTCATTGGTAAAGTTAGTGCAAATAAATCTCTTAGAATGAAATGTCATATGAACAGTTGCTCCATCCTGCATTAGGATGATTGTGTCCAAACAATCATGTTCTTTTAATGAGCAAATATTATGTTTACTTGTAACAGGACATCTCAAGACCTCAAGGTGTCACTTTCTCAAAAATAAAGGATCCAAGAATGAAATTGGCAATGAATCTACACCATACTCTTAGATATGCCGAATGTAATGGTTGTTGTTGAATAGTATGAGATTGTACTGAACCATACATGATATTTCTGGATATTGACCACTTCTCCTAAGTGGAAATGTGCCTTTTTTTCTGCAGAAATGGCAATGGCCACTGTTCATTCACTTCTGTTTGAGCTAAAAAACACAACACAATGCAAAATCAAGGTGTTGAGATGGATTTGTGATTTCAGTTCTTGCACAAGTTGAATCTTATTTGGGTAAAACTTTAAAACTGACCTCAAAATCATATGCACTGTTGAACAGGAAGGGACAAATCCCATGCTATGTCTCAAGCACTTTCAGAAGTACTTGCAGCTGCATCAGCTGCTGCAACAACTTTGTTAACTGCTTCCAACACAATTGGACACAGCCCTCTTCCTGGTAACATGCAAAGATAACCTGCTGCTTCAAATATTTTCATCATGTTTATCACTGCATTTATTGATCCTGTCCTTAAACCTTTCACGTGACACAATATGCTCTAAATGCAGTTGCAGCATTTCTGACATGCTAGTTTTAAGCAAAAGCACAGTTCTGATTTTTCATAGATTTTTCCCTGGTGGTGAAAACTTCTACTAAACAACTTACTAAACCTGATACATTGCAATTAGGGTTTCTGAAACGGGATCCCGGCTGTTTTTTTACCCCGGGAAATATCCCAGGAAATTTTTCTCATCCCGGGAAATCCCGCAATTTTTTTAAAAGTTCACTTTTTTCTTATTTTGTGTTAAGATTGAAGAAATTTTACAAATAGAAAGTATAATTAACTCATAAACTGTCAGAATGCCGGAATGCATTTATATTTATTAATTTAAGCCTGCTTATTAGTTTTTTTTGTTTATATGTCTCAAAAATAAATAATTGTTGAACTGCGGGCTTTGTAGTAATCCTCAATTGATACGTTCTGAAGTGATTCCAACAGAGGTTTTAAAAATTTGTATATATNACTTTACTTTCATCGGAAGGTATTTTTTCTTTTATTATAAATGAGTTAAATCAACTAAACACACCTTTTTCAAGAAGACTAAAAGAGTCGTTTATTCGACGCATAGCAGAGAGAAGAAATGTAAAACTGACTGGCCTCATACAATATCTCAATAGTGGAAAGAATTATGGAAAAGTTTCAACTTTCCCAAGTGAAAAAAGTTTGCCAGCCTTACCAACCAAGACTATGTTAATTTTATCAGCAAAACAGATGTTAGATCGTCTTTTTGAAGTATCTACTGATTCTACTTCCGGTGATACAGATCAACTACCAGATGTCGCAAGCTCATCTGCAATGACTTTAGCTGAAAAGCTTGATGCTGCTATCAAAGAAGCTGAGATAGACAGATCAAGAAAAGTGGACAACAAAAGCAGTACTGAAACGCGTCTCGAGAACGAAATAGAAATCTTTGAGGCTACAGGTGAAAAAACACACAACATCTGTCTTCTGTTAAATGCGTTAAAAACGATTCCACCCACATCGATTGAATCAGAAAGGGCATTCTCGGCAGCAGGACTTTTTATTACCAAATTAAGAACCAGATTGAGTGATCGGAGTATCGACCATCTTTGTTTCTTAAAATCTCATTATAAAAATTTACAGTAATATTTGTATTATGTTTTATTTAAATAAAAAATATCATTTTCTAAGTTAGAAGTTTGATCAAAGTTCAGTTTTTTTCTTTAAATTTTTAACTCAATTCGTAGGCAATTTTTGTTATAAGCAGTTTCGAACAAACTTTAACAAATTTTTTTTTATTTGTGAATTTTCTACGTAATTCAAAGGTATTTTTAATACATATTTTACACATCATTATTAATACGATTTTGGAGGTTGTAGAACACTTAAATTACTTTAAAAAATGAAAAATAATGATATCATTCGATTTCAAGATATTTTTTATATTTTAAAAATAATTTATTATATCCCGGGATTTCCCGGGAAACAGTTCACTTTTATCCCGGAATCCCGGGACAAGCAAAAGACCGGGAAATAAGAAACCCTAATTGCAATAACACTACTTCAACTGCTGTATAACGTCGGGCTATAAATTGGCAATAATAATTATAATAATAAATTATTAATAAATTTGACCCTAGAGGGGTGTTAGGTGCCATCTCATATTAAATTTAATAATTATAATTTAATTAAATTCTTTTCTTCCATTTTAATCTAAAATTATCAACCCATAGCGGGACTTGAACCTGCAACTCCCGCTTACCACGCGGATGCATTGTCAATTATGCTACCCAAATCTCTGGTCCAATCTCCTCTTCCAGTATATTTAACATCATGATATAACCATTGTTGGTTACTATAGTGCTGACTGGGAACACATTCAGCACCCCATCGGCACTGAACTTCAACTAATTTTTTCCTCCATAAATCTCTTTGTCGTGATCTGTATTGCATGTGTACTGAGTTTTGTCTCATTCATTTTCAGTTCAGTAGAGCCAGCTCCACACATGAGTACTGTCAGTTTAATCCTAAATATGTATCTTGTATACATTATTTGAAATCTGAATTAATGAAATTATCTTTCCATTTAACACAGTTTTTTTTTCCAATGAAGCCCTAGGGCAAATAACCTTTGCCTTAATCTCAAATTAAAGCAACATTTAAAATCAAAGCAAAAAATGGCACACGTATAAACTGGAACTGTAATATTCAAAGAAATAACACCTGTACACATTAGCCCAGGAGTTATAGCTAATTTGAAAATTTAAGACTATACAATGAGTCCATTTCAATTCCAATCCAGGAATTACAAACAGCAGGCTCTCAGCTTAAAATGCGATTATATAACAGGAATGCTGGCGTGAAAAATTTGTTTTTTAATGTTTGTAGACATCGTATCCTACAAAAAAGGGTCAAAGTCAAGATCATTTTTAATTGTGAATTTTTTAATAGTATTTGTCTGTTTTAGAAGTTTTACTTCAAGTTGCCTGCTGTTTGTAGTTCCTGGATTGGAATTGAAAAGGATGTGCATAGGAAATAAAAGGACTCATTGTATAGTCTTAAATTTTTAAATCGAAATAACACCTGAATGCAATTTCCAGCAAACAACAAGTACTGAACATTTTTGGCCACAGTTTATTGGCCCTCATCAGGAAGAATACAAAAACAGTTCTATTAATTGAACATTGTTTTGAAGGTTTAAAAACTTGGAACGTGACAGTGATGCACAGTTTACATCATAAATAAATAAGCAATATTTTTTTACAAGGTATAATGTAAAAATGAAATTATTAATAAAATTAAATCTTCTCAATGGAAGTCTAAATAACATTTCCAGGCTTTTGGTACTGGAATACAATCTGAGTTGATACAATTTCTGTTCTTGTCAGCTCTAAATTTCTAAGGCCTCTAATGATTGTATGTTGTATCTGTCAAAGACCCTGTTTACGAGGGTAACTTCGTCCCAACGGGAAAACCCCTGGTTTGGCAGCATAATGGGCAAGAGCAGTATTAAAATTCCTTTTCACTACATTGTATTTGTGGTTGCATAACCTGGCTTTTAGAGATCTGTATGTGGATCCAATGTATGTCAGTCTCCTGTTAAACTGTCCATCTTGTAATGGGATACTGTAAATACCTGGTGCCCTTGCATTATTTGTGCTGTCTTTTGCATTAGATGTAGGAGAAAACTCAGTTTTCTCCTCCTAAGTTAAGCATAGATTTGAATCTCTGGCAATTTTCTTGTAAGTGTGATGTAGGGACGGTTCATAGCTTAGAACTACATGATCCCTCTGCTTTGTTAATTAATAGTTGTAATGGTGGTGGATGACTTAGCTTGATGTGTGGAAGCTAGTCTGTTGATTAACAAACACCTGTACCCACGTGTGGAAGAAATATGCTTAACGTATTCTAGTTTGTTATTGGTATTGGACATCTCAGTATAATGTGATTATGCTCTTGTAACTAGGATGCAAAAAGTGGCTACCTTAAAAGGTAGCTGCTTTATTATTACTAACATTTTCATTCATTTAAAACAATCATCATCAGATAATGTAGAACAGAAATGATTTTAAAATTGATCAAATACAATAAATTTAAATATTGCATGCAAAATTGCATTGCATTATTTGTGAAAATAAATTTTTAAATTCATTTAATTATGAATTTCCTGCATGGAGTTTTACAATTTTATTTTGAAATAAAAAAAAACTGGCTGCAGCAAGATTACAAAAATGTTTTCATGTAAGAAAAAAAAACAATAATTGAAGGGTTTAAAATCAAAAGGGTCTAAGTGTAAAAAAAAAAATAAATCAAAAGTAAATAATTGTTGCTACAAACTAATCCTAATGATCAAAAAGGATAGTTTACTAACTACATGAATAGCTCTTCATATACAGCTAGTACAACTTGAAAAAACTTTAATGTGTGATAGAAAGAAAGATCTACTTTAATATTACAGAATATTTCAAAGGTAAGTGAATCGTTACAGAGATTGTGAAGGACCAGAATTGTGAATGTAAAAAGACAATTTTTTTTTATATGTGTAGATAGCATGACCAACTCTGAAGCTCTATAACCCAGAGACTATTTTAGTTATATGACCACACACGTGCCTCTACTGATTACGTGACATAGCCACAATCTATTGGTTCCTTAACTAACAGCTTTATCCCAATCTTCTCTCAATGAGGATGATTCCCATAATTTAAGGTGAAAAGAA